CCCCCTGCAGCCTCCTCCTTGGCATGGTGTCATTTTCCTTGTCGGATCCTTAGTGTCCCACCCCATGCCAGGTCCCACCCCAGGATGGTCCAGTGCGCACTTCCAGAAAGTTGGGGCTGCACTGTCCCAGCGGCTGTGCCCTTCGTGCTCTCCCCGTCCCAGGACTCTCCCAGCACCGCATGCCCCTTTTTCCCATGGTCCTTTCTGCCCGAGACCAGACCGTGGTTAGTCATGGGTGCCCCTTCCCCTCGCTGTCCCACTGCACGCCCTGGCACGGACAGGACACTTCCATGTTGTCTTTGCACCACCTGAACTCTGATCATAGGTTGATACTGTCGGTGTTCCAGGACAGGAAGAGGCAGTGTCCCCACCGAGGTCAGTCACCGGAGTCAGTGGCTGAGGGAGGCCGTGGGCAGCAGGGAGCCAGAGGAGCTGATCTCAGGATTGGAGACCGCTGCTTCCTCCAGGAGGAGAAAACCTGCCGGGAAAAGCCCCCAGCCCCACCCCCACCTCCGCACTGCCTTCGGCCTCTGCATTGACCCCTCCACTTCTCCAGGACAGGCATCATGAGGCGTTGAATGGTACCAATGTGGGCGGTGGGCTCTCCTCTTTCCGGTTTTAATTCTTGGTTCTTAAAAACTCCGTTCCAAATGAGGGAAATGAAACTACTGAACACTCTCCCCCAGTAGCCAGCTGACGTGGGGCAAGAGAACAATTCCCAGTTAAGGCCCCAAAGGAAATCCCCTCCCTGCCATGTGCTGAGGCTGGAGAAGTGGGGGCTGGAGAAGTGGGGGCTGGGAGAAGTGGGGCACCCCAGTTAAGGCCCCAAAGGAACCTCCTGCCATGTGCTGAGGCTGAGAAGTGGGGGCTGAGAAGTGGGGCTGGGAGAAGTGGGGCTGGAGAAGTGGGGGCTGGAGAAGGGGTTTGAAGAAGTGGATTAGAGTAAAGTGGGGGGCTGGGAGAAGTGGGGGCTGGAGAAGTGGGGGCTTGAGAAGTGGGGGCTGGAGAAGTAGGGCCTGGAGAAGTGGGGGCTGGGAGAAGTGGGGGCTAGAGAATTGGGGGCTGGGATAAGTGGGGGCTGGAGAAGTAGAGGCTGGAGAAGTGGGGGCTGGAGAATTGGGGGCTGGGAGAAGTGGGGGCTGGGAGAAGTGGTGGCTAGAGAATTGGGGGCTGGGAGAAGTGGGGGCTGGGAGAAGTGGGGGAGGCTCTAGCTCCCTGCTGAGCCAGGCCCCGCCACCAAGGTGAAGGACCTGTCTGTGGCCAGCAGCTGAGAGCCCACAGCACAGTGGAGAACCCGAGGCAGGAGCGAGAGGACCACGATTTTGCCCCGGATAAGCCACCAGTTCCAGGTCCCCATGGCTCCACTGCTTAGGTGGAGTCCCGATGCTCCTCTCTCGCAGACCCCTCTGGAGTGCGGAGCAGACCCCTCTGGAGTGCGGAGCAGCCCCAGCTCCTCCCACAGCTCCCTTGCACACTGAGCTGTGTCTCCTCTCACAGTCTGGCTGTAGCCCCCCACCCCTGGTCTCAAATAGGTTACAATCTGGAAAAGCAGTCAGGGGTGGGGGTCAAGGGCAGAAGCCAAGGCTCCCTTTGATCTTCTTGGGAGGCCGAGAAGTCCCACAAGTGACAAACTCTTCTGAAGCTTCGTTTAAGAAAGAAAAGAGATCCCCACACCCACAGAGGGCAGCAGCTAGAGAATTATTACAGACAAAGCGGGTTGACCGCCATCATTCCTTCCTTCTTCCCTCTCTTTGTTTCTTTTCTCCTTTTTTTTTTTTTTTTTTTTTTTGGAGATGAAGTTTCACTTTTGTTGCCCAGGCTGGAGTGCAGTGGCATGATCTCGGCTCACTGCAACCTCCACCTCCCAGGTTCCAGCAATTTTCCCGCCTCGGCCTCCCGGGTAGTTGGGATTACAGGCATGTGCCATCACGCCCAGCTAATTTTTTGTATTTTTAACAGAGACAGGGTTTCACTATGTTGGTCAGGCTGGTCTTGAATGCCTGACCTCAAGTGATCCACCCACCCTGGCCTCCCAAAGTGCTGGGATTACAGGTGTGAGCCACTGCGCCCAGCCTCCTCCTTTCTTTGAGCAAATAGTCTCCAAGCCCCTTTATGTGCATAAAACACTATATTTTTTGGAATAACACATGACTCCTGCCTCCAAAACTTTGTAGTAGGCCAAGCATGGTGGCTCACACCTGTAATCCTAGAACTTTGGGAGGCCAAGGTGGGTGGATCACTTGAGGTCAGGAGTTCAAGACCAGCCTGGCCAGCATTGTGAAACCCCATCTCTACTAAAAATACAAAAAATTAGCTGGAAGTGGTGGCAGGTGCCTGTAATCCCAGCTACTTGGGAGGCTGAGGCAGGAGAATTGCTTGAACCCAGGAGGCGGAGGTTGCAGTGAGCTGAGATTGCGCCATTGCACTCCAGCCTGGGCAACAAGAGCAAAACTCTGTCTCAAAAGAAAAAAAAGTTTGTAGTGCAGTTGTGGAAACAAGACAGAAGTCCAAAGAATTAAATCACAATACAAGAGATGTCATGAGGCCGGTGGATACTGGGGACGCTGGCACCATGTGTTCAGAGGCCAAGGTGGCAATTGCAATGGGGAAGGCTTCATGGAGGAGGGAAGTCCAAGCCATGCCTTTGGGATGCGGAGGGTTGGGGTGGGCAGAAGAGGCCATTCCAAAGAAGGGAACCCTCTGCCAGAGAGACTGGAGAGTGGGAAGGTTTGTTCTGTGTTCGGGGAAATAGTGGGCAGCCCGGGCTGGGTGAACCCACTTGCAGGTCATGTGTGCAGTGATCGTGAAGTGTGGGCGGTAGTCGTGAAGAGAGGCTGGAGGCGAGCTCAGGCTGAATGAGGCATCTGGACTTTCTCCTCCAGCCAGGAGCTGCCTGGTTTGTTGCTTTCACTTTGGATCTCAGAGATGCTGCTGTGCTGCTTAATACTGTACTTGCTTTATTCCTGTTGAGTGGAATAAAGCAAACACCCTAATATGTGGAGCAGGCTCAAAGAAAGAGGCACATGGCCCCCAGAAATTCTCGTGATCCTGTGGAGGGGTGAGCTTGGCCAGGGCAAGCAGGCTGGGTGCACCAGGGTTGCATTGGACAAGAAGCACTCTGGTCTCCTCTGCCTCGAAAAGCACAGTGAGCGGGGAGCCCAGAGCTCACGACCAAGTAGGAGGATCCAGAGCTGTGCAGTCAGACTTCCAGCCTTGCTGGCATGTTCTGCTTTCAACTGGAATCTGCGTTGGTTTCAGCTGGACGTCCAGGCTGCCACCCACTGAGCCAGCGTGCTGCTAGACTAGCGGAGGGCTGCTGGTGTTGCCAACCAACTGGCTTGTCTCTACACATCCCTCAAGACCACTGGGGCCGGGTGTGGTGGCTCACACCTATCATTCCAGCACTTTGGGAGGCCGAGGTGGGCAGATTGCTTGAGACCAGCCCAGACAACATGGTGAGACCCCTGTCTTTACTAAAACTACGAAAGACATGGTGGTGTGTGCCTGTGGTCCCAGCTACTCAGGAGGCTGAGGTAGGAGGATCACCTGAGCCCAAAGGCTGAGACTGCAGTGAACCTTGATTATGCCACTGCACTCCAGCCTAGGCAACACAGTGAGACCCTGTCTCAAAAAAAAGAACTAAAAAGAATAGAAAAGACCATTGGTTTACTAGATTTTTTTTTGAGGGGTAGCAGCTGCCTTTCTCAAAAGAAATTCTATAGAGAACCCCAATGTATAAAACATACCAAAGTGGAATTATTGGGATGAGGGGGGAATGGGGTACCTGGATCCCACCTGCCAGTCTTAGGCATTCATGAGGAACCCCTGGACCTGCTGAAGCCTGTAAAAGGGCTTAAGCAGAGAGTGAGATGACCCAATGCACATTTTAGAAAGATGCCCATGGCTGCTGGGTAGAGCCGACATTGGAGAGAGACGAGATTGGGGGTGGGGAGCCAGTTTCAGGAGGCTATAAAAGTGGTCCAGACGTGAGCTGATGAGGTCTAGACCCAGGGCAACAGCCTGAGGATGAAGAGCAGGGTTGGATTCCAGAATCCAACATTTCTGAGCTAGAATCAGCAGGAATTTGTGCTCAATTGGATATGAAGGATGAAGGCTGTGAGGGCTGGGCTGCCTGGGCTGAAATATACCGTAAAGTGTGACAGCCGTACAGGAGAGAAACTGCTGGGACAAAGGATAAGAGTTGAGTTTGGGGCCAGGCACAGTGGCTCATGCCTGTAATCCCAGGACTCCGTGAGACTGAGGTGGGCGGATCACCTGAGGTCAGGAGTTTGAGACCAGCCTGACCAACATGGTGAAACCCCATCTCGACCAAAAATACAAAAATTAGCTGGGCGTGGTAGTGGATGCCTGTAATTCCAGCTACTTGGGAGGCTGAGGCAGGAGAATCACTTGAACCTGGGAGGCAGAGGTTGCAGTGAGCTGAGATCGCTCCACTGCTCTAGCCTAGGTGACAGAGTGAAACTCTCAAAAAAAAGAGAGAATTGAGTTTGGGATACATCATATTGTGGTGACTCTGGGACATATAGTAGTTGATTGACCAGTAGAGAGTTAGAAAAGCAAGTCTGGATCTTCTGGATCTTCTCTTGTGGGAGAGAATGTTGGAGCTAGAGATTAAAATTGGGGAGTTATCAACAGATTGGTAGACACAAAAGACATGGAGTAGAGAATGTGCATACCGGAGAGAAAGAGGCCTGAATCAGGCACCTGGGTTTGTGACAATTTGGTCTTTATTTAGCTTTTTCACTGGTGTCATTGTTATTACCATTATGAGAGAATATTTTATTTTTTAAATTATTTTTATTTTTTTAAACACAGGGTCGCACTGTATTGCACAGGCTGGAGCGCAATGGCGTGATCTCGGCTCACTGCAGCCTCAACCTCCCTGAGCTCAGGTGATCCTCCCAAACAGCTGGGACTACAGGTGCGTGCCACCAGGTCTGGCTAATTTTTAAATTTTTTGTACGTACAGGGTCTCAGTATGTTGCCCAGGCACTCAAGAGGTCTGCCTGCCCTGGCCTCCCAAAATGCCAGGATTACAAGCCCCAGCCTCTGTGCCCGGCCATGAGTGAACATAGTAGAAAGCGGAGACAATGTGCGGGATGTTTGGAGTGAAAAGGACTTGCTCCTGTTCTCTTAGGATGGACAATGCTACACACAATCGTAAATCACAGGCTACAGGAGAGGCACCCAATCCTGCAGGACACTTCAACGTTCCAGATCAGAGGGGAACGAGAGATCAGAACTGGAGGTCCCTTTTCTGAGCCCCTAAGTGTGGTGGTCCACGTCACTCTCTCTGCATGCAGCAGACACTAAATATTTCACCTTCTCTAGACGACAGCAGTTCCTCAAGACCAGGAGCGCTGGGATAATGCATATAAAGCTCTTAGCACAGTGTCTGGCACCCCTTCGATGATGGTGATATCATCAATTTTCTTACTCCTTTGAATTACTGGCCAGAGCTGGCAGGGAACTTTGTACACATCAGGCACAAAAAACCCGCCCATGCAGTCTGTGATCAAGAAGCTCGCGGCACTCTGACAGTCCACGACAAAGCAGTTCCCCTTCTTTCTAACACAGCGAGGGTCCGTAAAGGAGATTATCCACAAGGACTAGCTGAGTGGATAAAGAGACAGCCTAGCTGAGTGGCTGACCCTTCCAGACGGAAGGCTGCGCCTCTTTACAACTGCGCTGCGGTTCCCAAAGTCGGCCTCAGCTTGGCCCTTGGCTGGAAGCTTGTAGAAAAGTTTCTGGGTCAGCAGACCTCACAGGCAAGGGTCCCCTAGCCGGCCACCCCAGCTAGGCACCAAGGCAAGAAAGCGGGGGGCCTCGTTAGCGTCGCTGGAAAACCATTGAAACATCCCCGCTGCTTGGCCGCCAGGCCGGCAGGTGCAGGTGTCCGGCCGGCTCCCCGCAGCCCGCCCATCCCCCGCGCCCCGCGCTGCAGTTCCCTCTGCGCAGCCCGGTCTGAGTGAGCCTGTGCCGAGGCGCCCGGCAGCCCGCTCTCCATGTGACTTCAGTTTCCGTCTGTTCCTTCCGCTGGTGCTAAAATAATCTGATGCCCCACAGAAAGGAGGGAGCCCAGCCCCGCGTTCGGCTGCTCTCGAGGAGGCCGGAGCCCCGGAGAGGATGCGCCCCGCGGAGCCGCCTGCGCCTGCGGGAGCCGTGAGTATTTCCTGCGTGGGGGCGTCCCGGGGGACTTCTCCAGGTGGGCGAGCTCGAGCGAGGTTGGGCGGTAGGAGGTCAGGTCCGTGGCCCGCAGCTCAGGGCTGAGGAGGAAGCTGTGGCTTTGCTGCATCCAGGCGCCGCGCTTCTGTGCTGGGCGTGGGGCCGCGGCTCTGGGTGGAGGTGGAAATGCCTCCCTCCAGGGGCACTTAGAGCTGAAAAACTGGTGCGGTGTAGTGGAAACCACCAGGGCTTCAGACTCAGACGTGGGTTTGAGTCCTGGCTCTGCAGGGAGCATGTGAGCAGACAGTGAAGGTTTCCGAGCCTCAGTTTTCTCATCTGCAAAATGGGAACAGTGATGCTCCCCCCCCTGGACTGGGCGACTGGATATGATGGGACAGCTCTGTGCACACTCAGCATGCTGAGCGCTGGGCTCTCCTTTCCTGTCCCACAACGTGGACTGAGAACCACCGTTTCATAGATGAAGACGCTAAGGCTGGTTAACAGCTACACCTGTTCACAGATTCGGTCCACGTGCCAGGCCTGTCCCAGGCCCTGGGGATACAGCTGTGAAGATGTGCAAAGCCCCTTCCCCCACAGATGGTTTGTCCTTGGGAGATCTACTGGGGCTCTGTGACTTGGATCCTAGCCTAGCTTTAGATCCATGGCTTATCAGAGGGAAACTAAGAGGAGGGCGACTCAGACTGGGATGCTCGTCGGTGGCCCTCGTGGCCTCTCCATGTGGGCCGGCTTCTGAAGGGGTCAGCATACTTCCCCGGGTACCCAGGAGCTAGACACAAAGAAGCAAGGAGCCACCGGTGTGGCTTTGTGCTGCCTCTGAGACAAGGCGAACACGTGCCAGTTAGTGGCTGGGACTGGAGGGGGCCAGGTCGGGGTCCTAACAATGGAGCCTCTGGACGGGGCTGGTGGGGGCTGCTGTGCTTCCGGAGGGGCTGAGGGGACCCCACTGGAGGCTTCTTCGTGATGGGTACAGACTGTTAGGAGTCTGGATGCTAGAAACACTCAGAGTCTATGGAGCTGGCCTTCCGTGCTTTCCTGTGTGCTCCTTACCTGCTGGCTGTGACACACAGACTGTTCCTGTGGATGCTGGGGGGTTGCTGGGCTTTACATACAATACATATTTATTCTCCTCACACACCCCTCAGGTTTGTATGTGTATGCCTGATAGTTCCTAAAGATTATAGAATCACAGGCCCAGGAAAAAACCTTAACTCCTGCCTTTAGGTTTAAAAAATAATAATAATAACTCAGCTTCACAAAGAAGGCACTTTTAAAAAAAGATTATTTATTTTTAGAGACAGGCTCTTGCTCTGTTGCCCAGACTGGAGTACGGTGGCACGATCACAGATCACTGCAGGCTGAAACTCTTGGGCTCAAATGATCCTCCTGCTTCAGCCACCTGAGTAGCTAGGACAACAGGTGCACGCCGCCATGCCAGCTAACTTAAAAAATTTTTTTTGTAGAGACAGAATCTTGCTGTGTTGCCCAGGCTGGTCTCGAACTCCTGGACTCAAGCAATCCTCCTGCCTTGGCCTCCCAAAGTGCCGGGAGTGTGAGCATGAGTCACCACACCCAGCTTTCATGTCATGAGTACCCTCATGGGAACTTCATGAAAACACATGTAAACATAATCTCTCATAGTTTTTAAATTCATCATCCAAGAGATCCTGCTCTTTGATAAAGAGACATAACTTGGTAGGCTCCAAAACAGAGAGTAGACGCCTAGTATCTTTGTTCTGGGCATTAAGAATACATTGACCTTTCTGTCTCTGGTCTTGACTCTTTTGGAAGAGAGATGCTAGTACTGATGACAGCCTGCATTCTGGCTGCGGTGTGCGTCCGCACTGCAAAGTGTGCGCAGACTCTCGTATGGACAATGACTGTGCCTCACATCATGCTCAGGTCTGTTTCAGAGCCTCAGAAGTTAGGGGAGGGTGGGCTTCCAACCATGACTGAAAGCACCGTCCTTCTTGGGACATGCTGTGTCTATAACATACTTACAGGTGTCCGCACTCACTGATGCTTGTTGAGGTGTCATTACACATCAGTGACAAATATTTATCATTTTTTTTGCTTTTGGTAGAACTTGTTTATTGTACTCACTTTCCTCCCACACCATTTTTCTCAACTTCATCATGAAACAAATGTCATGTGGTCAGTCTGTGATGAGGCTCAGGGCTAGGTTAGGTGATTATTTCTGAAAGCTCAGAGAGGTGAAGGAAAAAGGACATCAGTGCTTGGATCTTATAAGCCTCACCATGCAACAATAAACCCGAGTTCAAGGATCAGATTCTTAGACTGGTTTGGCTGCAAATGACAAAAAACCAACTCAAATATGCTTCAGAAAAAAAGAAAAAAAAAGGATTTATTGTTTCAAATAACTGAAAATTGTATGGGCAATAGTTTCAGGCATAGCTGGGTCCAAATGCTCAAACAGCATTGCCAGGAATCCATCTGTCTCCGTTCCTCAGCTTTGCCTTCCTCTCTGTGGGCCTCATTACCAGGCAAGTCCTGGAGCTGGTGGCGAAGATGGCTGCCTGCAGCTCCAACTATATCCCCACTGGTCTGGCCTCTGAAACAGAAAGAGCAAGTCTCCTTTCCATGAGTTCTAGCAACTGCCCTTGGATTGAGTCTCATGGGCTTGGCTCTTATGATGAGCCTGTGTTAGGAAAATGGAGTTGCTCTCACAGGCCCAGCCTTATTCATAGGCCCCACCCTGGAACCAGAAGTTGGGATCGTTCCCCAACATACACAGACTTTTTAAGAAAGGAAGGGGGTTAGTTGTTAGTGTGAGTGTACTTAACACTACTGAGTTGGACACCTAAAAACGGTTAAGATGATCACTTTCGGCCGGGCGCGGTGGCTCACCCCTGTAATCCCAGCACTTTGGGAGGCCGAGGCGGGCGGATCACCTGAGGTCAGGAGTTCGAGACCAGCCTGGCCAACATGGTGAAACCCCATCTCTACTAAAAATACAAAAATTAGCCGGGCGTGGTGGTACGCGCCTGTAATCCCAGCCACTCAGGAGGCTGAGGCAGGAGAATCGCTTGAACCTTGGAGGCTGAGGTTGCAGTGAGCCGAGATCACGCCACTGCACTCCAGCCTAAGCGACAAGAGCGAAACTCCGTCTCAAAAAAAAGATAATCGCTTTCATGTTTTGTGTATTTTACTACAATTAAACATTTTCTAAAGAAAAAAAGGAAAGAAAGGGGTGCTTTTCTCAAAGGGGAATTGAGGAGTTGTTACCAGAAGGAGAAATGAATGTGAGTAGGCGAAACCAACCAATTTCCAGAGTGAACGGAGTCAGGTGCTGAGACCAAACCAATGTGCCATTTCTGACTTTAATGCCTGAGGGATTTTAGACTGAACAGAGTGAAGAAAGGAGGAAGTGGAACCTTGTCATGGTCCTCACCCACGAGCTGGGTGCAAGGAGTGGCTGGTACTGGATGGGCTCCATGCGGCTGCAAAGCCTGGTGAGGTCACAGGGACTCCCCTCCTCCAGCCCCAACCCAAAAGGTTGCCTAAGGCAGGTGCTGCGCCATGTGCACCAAACAACTTTCTGCAGCAACCTCCAAGAAAGAGGGATTTCTCCCAGGAGAGAGCACGTAAGGCTCCGTCTTTTCACCTGTCTATTCTCAAGCAGGACCTGAGTGTCTGAGGCAGCCCCACACCCGCAGTGCCTGGCAGGGGCTCACCCTGGGGTACGCATCGTGTTCTCCTAAGCTCATGTCACTCCATTTGAGATGTCAACTGGACACGGACTCCTGCTGATCCTCCTCCTGTCATTCACTCCTCTCCTGGTCCAGCCCTGATCCCTGAGATCTCTTCTGCCCTTCCAGTGTCTCCCCTCCGTGGTCCTCGGATACCAGGGCTGAGCCTTTTCCCTCGGCCCTGCAGGGTCAGTGGGGAGTGGGGCTTTCCCTGCCTGGCCCTGGACCACCTCCTTCAACTTCAGCAAGTTAGTGGCCTCCCGGTCACCAGCCAGCCTGGCACCCTGAGACCTCCTCACGGGCCTCCCCCAGTGACCTTTCTCTTGTTCTGGGTCATTGGGCCCTTCCTCAGGTCTTTAAACTGATGCTTCCATTTGGCTTCTCATCTCCTTCCAAATCCCCAGTTTTCTTCTAGGCTCTCTGCCTCCTTTAGAAGGCCTCTGGCAGCCCCCATCTTGCTTCGCCTCCACAGAAGGCCATGGTCCCATGGTCCCATGATCTACTCAGGGGCGCTGTTCAGAATATCAGGCACCGCGTGGCACAGCTACTCAGGAGGCTGAGGCAGGAGAATCGCTCGAATCCCAGAGGCGGAGGTTGCAGTGAGCCAAGTTCACGCCACTGCACTCTAGCCTGGGTAACAGAGCGAGACCTTGTCTCAAAAACAAAAGAAAAGTTAAATCACTTGATATGCATTCTGAAATATTTAGAGGAAAGTATATCAATGACTGCAATGTACTTCAAAATGCACAATGAGGCCGGGCACAGTGGCTCACGCCTGCAATCCCAGCACTTTGGGAGGCCAGGGCAGGCAGATCGCCTGAGGTCAGGAGTTTGAGACCAATCTGGCCAACATGGTGAAACCCCATCTCTACTAAAAATACAAAAATTAGCCAGGTGTGATGGTGATCTGTGGTGATCTGGTGCCTGTGATCCCAGCTACTCAGGAGGCTGAGGCAGGAGAATCTCTCGAATCCCAGAGGTGGAGGTCGCAGTGAGCGGAGATTGTGCCATTGCACTCCAGCCTGGTGACAGAGTGAGACTCTGTCTCAAAAAAAAAAGAAAGAAAGAAATGCAGCGTGGGTGGTGCTGTGTGCCTGTAGCCCCAGCTACTCGGTAGCCTTAGGTGGGAGGACTACTTGAGGCCAGGAGCTTGCAGCTGTAGTGTGCTACAATCCCGTCTGTGAATAACTACTGCTCTCCAGCCTGGGCAACATAGCGAGACCTCTAAAAAAAGAAGAAAGAAAGATGGACAGAAGGATAGATAGATGG